CCACCANTTGAGGACGTGACAGCAGCTGTGGAAGAGCTCAGAGATGTACTACAGGACGTTCTGAGGGACGCATGGACAAACATCTCACTGGCCATCACTGACATGGATGTTCTACTGTCAGAACCAGAACCAGAACCAGAACCAGAACCAAAGACCAGAGCTGGATTCTTAAAATATTCACAAGAAATCACTCTGGATCCAAACACAGCACACAGAGAGCTGTTATTATCTGATGGGAACAGAAAAGTGAAACGTATGAATCAACCTCAGTCGCATCCTGATCATCCAGACAGATTCACTGGCTGGTTTCAGGTTCTGAGTAAAGAGAGTCTGACTGGACGTTGTTACTGGGAGGTGGAGTGGAGAGGAGGAGGAGTTCATGTAGCAGTTTCATACAAGAACATCAGCAGAACAGGGGATTCAGATGAATCTGGATTTGGATTCAATAACAAATCCTGGTCTTTATATTGTGACACCAACAGATGTGGATTTTGGCACAACTACACTCAAACTCTCATCTCAGGTCGTCCTTCCTCCAGAGTAGGAGTTTACCTGGATCACAGAGCAGGTGTTCTGTCCTTCTACAGCGTCTCTGACACCATGACTCTCCTCCACAGAGTCCAGACCTCGTTCACTCAGCCGCTACATGCTGGAGTTTACGTTTATTCTGGATCCAGTGCAGAGTTCATTAAACTTAAATAGACTGAAGTGTTTAAAGAGCAGCTGGTTCAGTCTCATTGTACACTGTAAAACACCACAGGTTGATTTAACTGTCTGTTGTTTGAACAATCAGCTGTTATTCTACAGATTTATATTCCTGATAAGATCTACTGAGAACACAGAAAGAACGTTTTCATTTACATGTTAAAGAAAAACTGTAGATAATCAAGTCATTTGTTCTTTTATCAGGTTTGACTGCATTAAATAAAAATCATTGTTTTGCTGATATTTGATTGAAAGAAACGTTCTGAATATTAAGGATTGATTATTTAACAGGTTTCAGTAAAATCACAGGAAGAAGTCAGAATTTATGTATAATCCAAAAAATAACGTGTAAAAAGATGATTTTATGTGAAAAGACGGTTTTGTTTTGTTCGTTTGTTTGTTTGTTTCTTCATCTCGTTGTGTTTCCATGTTTGTTGTGAGAATCTTTAGAAGCTTTCAGTGTGCTGTGATGCCCCAGTGGGACCACCGGGGGGCGTCTTCACCGCTGTTGTCATCTTGGAGGTGAGTCCCTAACCTGTCTAAGAGGCCTGATTGGAGGAACTCAGCACACCTGGGCCCAGTGTGATGAACTTACTGAAGTCCTGCAGGTTCTCTAACTCTCTCTCTGCTCTGGCTTCCTCCACAGGCACACCAAGGTTTGATTCGGCGATCTGATTTGGTCTAACTGGGTCTGATTTGGTCTGATCTGGTCTGATCTGGTCTAACTGGGTCTGATTTGGTCTGATTTGGTCTGACTTCCTCCTCATGCAGCCGTGTAGAACCTGTTCACGGTGACATCACAGATCACTGCTGCATGATGGGATGTGAGAGGCTGCCGCTGACTCCTCGTGTGTCCACAGCGAGTCCACTCCACGCACTGACTGGGTCGCCTTTTTCCTCTGAACAGCGCCCGACCGAACCGCTCGCTGAGTCAGCACCACATTAGCATCGGACTCGGACGCATCGCAGCGCCGCCGTGATTTAATGCAGCGTGTAGAGGAGGAGCTGCCAGGTTTCAACCCCAAATTACGCCCCACGATAAATTTACCGCCACTACTACGGGGACGCCGCCAGCTTTTATGGCAGGTTTGTAATTGGCCAGAAAACGCTCAATTTGTGTTATAAAAGAATAAATGTTTTATGGTGTGCACATTATTTACAGTTATTTTATGATTAACGTGTAAAATGTAAACATGTTTCTGGGAGTTTACTTGTTGTTGTCTGTAATTTAACAAAATCTGTAAAATTACAAATTATATAACAAGTTTTTTTTTATTATTAATACATTTAATTTTGCTGATTTTTGAAAAATGTAAATACTATAATAATAATTAAAAAAAATAATGTAATAAAAATGTTAAAAATAGTGTAATTTTACCGTCCAAGAAACAAATGATCATTTGTTTAGAACACATTTTGAGAGTGAACATTACGTATGGCTTTGACCTGTTTGTTTGTTTGTTTTTACAGTCAATATGTTAAATGACATTTTTTCCCTGTGATTTCCTGAGATGCTATCTTTCTTTTTTCTTTCAAAATAGGGAAAATCTGTTTAAAAAAAAAAACAAAAAACACACAAAACTGTAAATCATTTCCTGTTATTTTTTTGAAAATAACAGGAAATGATTTCAATTTTAACTGCATCATAATAATAATAATAATAATAAATAATGTAAATTTATATAAATAAGAAAGCATTTGTTATCATTTTTTAATCTTTTTTTGTCAAATTTGTTAAACGCAACAACAAATATGTAATTTGACAATAAAACATGTTAAAAAATACTATTTGTAAAAACACATTTTTGATGTTCTTATTATCCAGAGTTTTGGGCTGATTTTCTTTTCTTTTTTACATTTTTTTTTGTGATTTTATGAGATTTTTCGTTTTTCCAAATTTGTAAAATAACTGTACAATGTGTTTCTTTTTTAATTACTGTAAAAGCAGCAAAAATACAATCAAATATCTGTGAAACAATGTCAATTTTAGCAACACATGAATAAATAAATGACAATAAAATGATGAATTGAAAAATGTAAATCCAGATAAATAAATTCTATATATAACAAAACATTATTTGTCTTTTTCTTTTCTTCTTTCTGACATAAATAAAGGAACTTATAGCGTAATTTGACGGTAAAACATGTCAAAAGAAAAACAGTTTATAAAAACACATTTTGATGTTCACATTATGCACAATTTTGGGCTGATTGATTAAAATTTAATTTTTTGAATCAAATCTTTTTTTTTTATTTTTACGGTTAAAATGTAAATTACTAATTAATTCCCATAAACTACTTATTTATGTGATTTTATTGAATATTTTCTGTCATTTACCAAACCTGGGGGTGTGTGTAGAACAACAGTGACCCAGAGAGCAACATGAATAAAGTGAAACTGCAGCAGGAATTCCTGTCGGCAGAACCGAGGCGTCGACCCGAGAGCAAAGAGCGTCTTCTGTAATAACCACAGATAAATAAAGGAGAACGAGCGACGGCGTGGAAAGTGCTGCTCTCATGCTAAGACTCGATGCTAATGAGGGACTCTTGGCAGGAGAATGCAGAATAAAGTCCTCTTCATGCAGCCTGCGAGCTGATGGCTTCATCTGTCTGTCTAAGAGTTTCTGCATCCGTTCAGAGGTTCAGTATCGAGCCCCTTCTCAGCAAATTAATGCGAGAGTCACGTGTCCTCACGTAACGTTTAATCTCAAAACACCACAAACGTGTCTGTAGTTTTAAAAGCACCTGAGCTGCTGCTGTCGTCTGTGGTCGACGTCAGCGTTCGATACCAGGACTTCCTGTCGCATCCAACTGTCTCTGTGGTCGATCATTTTGTGCAGTAATGTTCGGTGAGTTTGTCGCACGGCTTCGCGGTTATAAAATCAGTAGTTTGGGTTAACGTATAGTCTTAATGAGCTGCTTCTGTCCATCTGCCGTCTGACAGCAGAAACAGAAACATACGTGAATGAGAAGAGGTCTGTCGGGTATTTAGCGATATTCAAATGCCGTTTACGTGAGCACAGAGAGCAGGAGAGAAGCTAACGGATGGAAACAGCAGCTGATGACCCACCCAGTCCTCGTCTACTGGTTTAAATGAAAGTCATATGAACGTTAGCCACATTAGCCGCCCAACATGCTAACACTAAAGATTTCCCTGTTGTGGTAACCCTCGAGGTCAGAGGGAGCAAACACAGGCCCGTGGGCCAAATCGGGCCCGCGGTGTAATTATATTTGGCCGCAAGATCATATCAAATGTCTACTGGAGCGGGCCCGCCGGTATATAGCGCATGCATCGTTAATACTACACATCCCAGAATGCTCTGCTGGTACGTTGAAGCGTTAGCAACTCTCAGGAAAATTTAAGCCACCCTTCACAAAAAATGGCCAAACAAAAGGTGGAAAACAGCAGCTTTCAAGACAGGCAGGAGGCAGATCATCTGCTCATGAATGTGAAGGACAGACCTTGATTCAGCTTCTTGCTTCTTCCAGATTTAACGTTTGAGCAAAACCTTCGTTTCCATATGAAAAAGTTTATCATTATATATCTGGACAGAAAGCAAAACACGCAGAACTTTAGTCCATTTTTCAATAAATATCGAGTCTGGCCCTCGACTTAGTCCCAGTTTTTTATTTATTTTAATTTTGGCCCACTGTGTGTTTGAGTTGACACCCATGCTCTGGGTGTTCGGTTCCTCAGATGCTGGCAGTGCACCGAGACTCTCGTGTTCACTCTTGCAGCAGAACATTTGGTGAGTTTGAGACATTTAGACAGTAAATAAAGCTGCTGGACTGAGAGGCTTATTCTGGGTTATACAAAGCTTGAGTTGGACTATCGGTGCTTAGAAACTTCCTACTGGCTTGTAGTGTATACGTAATTTCAGAGCTTTTATTTTCTAAGTTTTTAAGACACTCGAAACACAACAAAATGGACTTTCCACCATCTGGGACCTTTAAGTGAATACAGCTGCTGTGATATTTGGTAGCTGGAAAACATCTAGAAAGTAGGAAAGTAAAGTGACAGAAGAGGATTGAACCACTTCTCTGACCAGCTGCACCAGTGTTTGCACATAAATGCTACACCTATGCGCTTAGCTAGCACTTTTTAACGTTGGTTAGGTTCTGCAAAGTGCTTCTAATGTGTTTCTTATTGACACGCCTGCGTAGAGGGTCTGGGGATCGAACCTCGTGATTGGTGGCCGACCCGCTGGGCCACAACTTCTAATTATTCATACGGAGAATCGATATTGAACACAGCTTCAGGAATCTGTCGTTACTTTAGCGTTAGCGTCACGTACCTGCAGGACGATGGGCAGCTGCTCGGGGGGGTTCCTGTTCTCCACGCCCATCGTCAGCCACACCTGGAACGCCGTCAGCTGCTCGGCGAAGAAAGGACTGTGCTGTGGACACAAAACACACACCAGATATTTATCGCCGTTTTGGAGGATTTATTGCGCCCGCCGATTCCCTCCCGTCGCTCTCAGCGCGAGCCGCTGTGCAGCGACCGAGCCCATCATTTCATAAAGGCTCCGACATAATGAGCTCAGAAGTGACACTGCACTGCGGTAACAACATAAATCCTGATCTATCATGATCACCTTCCCGCTCGCCGCTCTGCCTCTCCGCCGCCGTGGCAGCCGGCCTGATTGATCGGTTGCTGGCCGCAGAGTTTTTGATCACGCCGAGTGTTGAGATTGCAGCGGGAATTACGACGGGACGATTGATGGATGTGGAGAGGGGAAATATCAACGCTTCGCAGCTGGATGGGGAAATTAATTTGTGCATAATCAAAGCTTAATAACAAACCCTCTCAGGTGTGTGGAGGTAGCGAGGACTGACTGTACCCTCTGAACTCTGGAGAAACGATCCTGAAGTGTTGAGTTTGTAAGAACACCAAACAACAACA